GGCGGCAATGTGGGACTGCACGGGGCGGGCAGCAGTGGTGAGGAGACCCCAACACGGATCTCTACTCCCTGCAGAGCCACAACATGCACCAGGGACCAGCAGGCTTGTTTGTCACTCTGTGCTGCTTCCCTGACCCACGACTCAGCGTAACAGGGATCAGAGATCCACACGGGCGTCTCTTTGCCTGCACAGAGGGCAGTGGCCCTCTCCCTCCCCGAGACGAGCCACCCACGGCCCCGTCCTGCTCCCTGCTGGGGCCCCAAGACCCTCCTGACTGGGTAGGGCTGTGCAAAACTTCCCTTCAAGCCCGTTCAAAAGAGATTCAGAGGCCAAAGATTTGGCCAAAACAAAATAAAGAGTGATTCAAAACACTGAAATGAATCACTGTCCTCCGAAACTGCTGAAACCGAAACCGAATCGAAACAACTGTTTTGCACAGCCCTCAGCTATGCCTCCAAAGGAGGTGTCTTTTGCCTGTTTATAATGTGTTTATTATCTAACAAGCTAATGAGCTGTTATTCAAACAGGTCCACATCCTGCTATTGTTAATGGTTCCCGTCAGAACAGGGGTGGACAATTATTTCGGCTGGAGGGCCACTTAATTAGTTTTGGTGAACTGTTGAGGGCTGGCCACATGGGTAGCCTCACCCCTTGACAGGTGCCCTGCCCCCTGCTCGCCATGTTGGGACTGGAAGTCCTGTCCCTAACACCTGACCTTTGCCACCAGACATCCCTCCCCTCGCCCCTAGAAGTATTCCTCTTGGGAAGGGGGTTTGCCATCTTGGAACCAGAAAAAAAAACCCAAATTATATACTAAAAATCAAATATCTACAATAAATTTTAATTTTATTTCAAAAAATATTTTTGTCCTGATTTGTGTGTGTTGCATCATGTATACAGAGGTGATTGCATTATAGCTCAAAATGAAATCTTACTCTTGTATATTGGGGGCGGGGGTTGGAGGGCTGTGAGGGATATATGGGGTTTGTGGGGGGTTGTGTGTGTGTGTGTGTGTGTGTGTGTGTGTGTGTGTGTGTGGGGTGGGGTGTAGGGGAGGCTGTGGGTATGTGGGTATGGGGGCATGTGGAGGGATGTGGGTGCATATGCGGATGTATGTGTGCTGTGGGGGAGAGTGTGGGGAGTATGGGGAACTAGTGGGGGTATGTTTGTAGGGATGTGTGGGTGGGTATGAGGTTTGTAGGGGACTGTGGGTGTGTGTGGGGGGGTTGTGGGGTTTGTAGAGTGAGAGGGTGACTGGGGTGTGTGTGTGGGGGGAGGGTGTGTGTGTGTGTG